AGCTCTCTTTGTCTTCGCGTAATCACTGCACCGATCCTGATATGGATGACGGCCGCTGCGCTTTTCCCACGAAAGTATACCCGCTAAGCGTGCCTTTTTAGTGTCAGATATTCTCGCGCGGCCATAACGATTCCGCGGCGAAGAAGTCTTTAGCTCGAATAGCTCGTTATATCGCAAAAGAAGAAACGGGCAGTCGTAAAAAGGAAATTTTTCAGCACGGCTCGTTCCGCGATCTAAGAAAAATATATTATAACGCGAGTCTCTCTCTCTCCCTCTTTTCTTCTCTCGTCTCTTTCGACGTTTTCTCTCGGCCAGAAAGCCGAACATCGACGATATTATCATTCCACGCGAAAAATCCCGCGATGTGCAATATCTCCAAGCACGTTATTAAATTTAAAAATTGTACACTAATATCGAGATTATTTTGTTAATCTGAATTTACGCTCTGATATACATTTCTTCTCTCTTTTTCTCCCTCTCCCCTCCGTTTTCATTCACTCTGCCAACATTCCTCGCCGTCTTTGCAAAAGCAATAAAAGTTTTCCGGGATTCCTGCGTCGGAAGAAATTCGCTTTATGACTCCGAAGCCAGAAGTTTTCGCGAAGGACCGAGCCGAGAGAATGTCTGTATGAAGTGTCGCGGGTTTTCCATCGAATTCGCGCGGATTCTTCGGCGAATTCGCTGGCCGACCGTTCGATCCAAAAGAAAAAACGAATGCTGTTCTTTATGAGCGAAAGGAAAAATAAAACAGAAAAGAAGAAACTCCCACCCGAAGAGAAACGTCAGGATCGCCATGAAGTAAAATCCACGTGAGAAATCAAGCGGAGAAGAAATCGTCCGTCTGTGCCGCTCGAGTTTAACGCATCCGAGTCCTGAATTATTCCCTGGGGGACCTCTCGGGCCGCTTTTACATATTTAGGAAAACTTTCACGCGAGAGGCGTTTCAATGCGTGATTTAAAGGCCGCGACTTTTCCCCGGCGATACTCTCGGTCGCCTTTGTCTCGAATGGCCGTTATAGCGCGAATCATAAGGCCGGTGGTCGCACGTAAAAATGGCATTTTCTCATGAAAGTCGGATGAAACATGCCGCGTCGTCATCATCGTTGTCGTCGACGCAGTTTCCTATCTACGCCGGTCCTCTCCCCGAGAGTTACGCTCCTGATCCCGGTTACGGCGCGACGTAATAAGATTTCGCCGTGTGTTTCGCTCGCTCGCGCCGCAAACTCCGAGAGAGTCTCCTGAGAAAGGAGACCACCCGCTCCCGTAATTGCGCTCCCGATGAACCGCTAATCCGCTGTCGACCTTACGGCTGAAATTGTTTCAACAGCCGGGCTTATCGTAGTCGGGATACCACAGCGGCGGGATGTTTAATCGAGTCGGTAATTTCAGGAATGCATTATCAAGTCTCGAACACTTGATATTGAGAGAAACGACGGTGAAACTCTCTCTTCTTCATTCCGCCGGAAAACAATCGCTCCGTGCACACGTCGTCTCTCGTGGATCGCGTCGTCCACGTCGTCGGAGAGACGGGTAATAGAAAGGACGAAGATCGATAGGGAACCGTAATGAACGAAACCTGATTTAATAGGTTTCCGGAATAGCGACGGATACATAGGACTCGAAAGTTACGCGAGGCGAAAAAACTGAGTTTAATATAATCACACTATTATCTTCTCTCGAGGATTTGGGCCTTTTTAAAATTACTCCTCCAGAACGTCAGACTTTAACGGTTTTAATGTCAACCCGCACATTTTGTACCGACTTAATGCTCATCAATGTTCCACGTGAACGGTAATTCGTACATCACTTGTGTCACTGTGATCCGACGTAATCGATAGAAACGTAATTGAACAGGGAACGGATCAGCTTATTCGTTACCGGGATATCCCCTACTCCGTAACGTTCATTAGAATTTGATCATGATAAACGGCGGAGAAGGAGAGGCTTACTTTCTTAAACACGTGAAACTTTTAATATCTGAAATTAATCACCGGCGTAATCTTAATCTGTCTCCCTCAACATACAATATTCGCAAACATCCGACATTCTCTTAGATTTTATATTTTAATCACCGTTAATTATAAATCTCATTCGATAACCGAACTACTCAGGCGAACTTTTCGGAATGAATAAAATTCGACATAAGTATTTTCGTGATCAATACAGATAAATTCGTAAAGATTGCCGCCTACGTCAGCCGGAGCTATCCCCTTCGCATTCCCCGGATCAGTATTTCACGATAGGTGCCAAATCCGAGAGCTTCGTGAGAACCCGACAAGGCTTCCTCGTCGAGCTCCCACGCGGCGCGTCGACTTGATACCGTAATCTCGACGACGATCATATTTTCGAGATCATTGGCTCTCGCGATTTGACGGATTCGTGGCGGGCACCTTTTGTTTTATAACAGAGACTAAGTGGGATCCTCGGGGAGCAGCTATTTCGTGCCAACGTTTATTCGGGAAAGTGACTCGTGAAGAAGATATGCGATAAGACGCTGCCGACGACGACGTAAAAGTGCTATCTGTACGAAACACGATGCCTCCGCGATATCTATGCGCACGTAATAGGTGTCGATGCGTCCCGCGGAAGGTGAGATGTTCTCTCTTCTTCTTCCTGTTACACCTTCGTCGCTCTCTCTCTCTCTCTCTCTCTCTCTCGTGTGTATCTTCTCCTCTTTCAACTTTCGATCGCATTCTATTTTATGCGTCGTCGAATCTAGGTTATCGCTTAGGCGACCACTATCGCGCGCCTATATCGGCACCTGGGAGACGCGCGACCTCCTCGGAAAGTCGGCAGCGATACGGCGCGTCGAAATTTATTATCTCAAAATTAGGAAGAATGGCCATCCGGGATCTGTTTTATCGTCGACGAAAAAAATTCGCGTCATATATTTCAGAGCTACGGAATTATTCCGGAGAATGCTGAAAAAACTGTCGATCGCGATTAGAGAGGGAAATATACTTGCGGCGATATCTAGATGAACTTTCAATCAAGCACACGGCGTAATATCGCGTGACGCACAAGAAGAAGCCGGGTATGTCAGCCGAAAAAGTTGGAAATCTTTCGCGAGGACGGAATGGGAAAAACCCGAAGAAGATTCCGCTCAACGAAGACGTCTTCGCGTTTTACCTTGGCGCGCGGTTTTTGCCGGAATCGCCCTCGTGTCAGCGCTCTTTTCGTATTTCACACGATCCTGCGAGGTACTTGTTCGTCAATGTCACTCGGTTGACGTAAATACGCCCGAGAAAACACGGTACACCGACAAAATGCTATTTCACTGACGGGCGAACATTTTCATTTTCGCATGTAGAACGCCGAGAGAGCGCGTGAAGGTTGCGAAGAGGAGGAGATCGTCAACGTTGGTCGACTTCATTTTTTTCCCTTTTTTTTTTTTATTAAACGAGGCTTGAAAAAGATTTTTTTATTCAAAGCGTAATCTCGAGCAACATTTTCAATAACTGCACGAATAATTGTACGATTTTTCTATCGATTGAACGAAAACCATATTTGACTGATTCAGAAACGAGAAATATTTTTAAGACAGTGCCTCGAATCGCGAGTAGCTTTGGAAGTTCAAACATATAATGCTTTTTTCTCCTGTTATTTCTTGCCCCACACGGAAAAAAACTAACTCGATTATGGTAACCGAAAATATTCAGTTAATTGAGTTTCGGTCACATGTAGCCTTTTTTCACTAGCTGAAAGGCTGTTTATATCAACAAGTGCTTTCAGTTCGGGGAACCGAAATTTTCTCATCTAAATGCGTTAATGCAACATGTACTGCCGTTGGATACGACATATCAACAGCATTAGTGGTTCTGCAGGTGATAATCTCGGAACCAAGAAGTTTCGAGTCCCACCAGGAAAAGAATAATATTTTTGTCGAGCAGCAATGTTAACTTGATTAAGATAACCGAGTACAATTGTCCGAGCAGCGGAAGCATTCTATAGGAATGTTTCTGTTTCTACAATCAAGTTTTCATTTGGTCCCCAGATAACAGAAAATTTCGATTGTCATGACCGAAATTCAGTCACACGAACTGAATTATTTTTTGCCGTGTAACATTTAAAATAACAGTAATTGCCTAGATATTTAAAATAATAGGCAGAAGACTCACATTTATACGGTGTGAAAGAATGATGCTTATCTATAATCTAATAAATTTTTTTCTAGTACTCCGTGAGCCGTGACCGTTTGCATTAGATTAATATTTCCACTTACTTTGAATTAAGTTATTTGACCCGCACGGTTCACTTACAATTGGCCGCGGATTTCTAGGACAGCTGGACGGAGCTGGCGGAACGATGCGAAACGCGAGGCGCGAAGGCACGAGGAAACTTGAATTAATAAAGTAAAGCTTACGAGAGTAGCGGCAACGCGGCCGCGCACGTATTTATAGATCGTCTTGCAAGTAAGTCACTTTGGTCGCGTTCAATTACGCTTCTTCCGCGTCGTACCGATATGCCCATTTTGGCCTAATCTCCGTTCTCCATTAACTCGATCGTTCGACAACTCAATTTAAAACGCCAACACGGTTATCGACCCGAAAGAAAAAGTCTACTTTGTCCGACTGGAAGACGTCGTGAGAATATACAAGCGACGAAGAGATACGTCCGTTTTATAAAGCAAGACCTGTTCAAAGAAACCTCGTCGAAAATAAACGGAAAGATTATAAAAAGAACTTACACGGCGATTTCAAATGTGCTGCGCTTTATAGCTCAAAATAGATTAACGTTTCTCAAGGTGGCGTTTATATTTTCAGGAGAAATTGTAAGAAATGATAGAGAGTTAAGGAGAAATTAGCTCGTAAGACAGATATAAACAACGCGACATGAAAATTTGAATGATTACGCAACTTTATAAATAGCGTGAGGGATGCAATATTCGATATTATTCTACTAATAATTACACGAGATATATGATTCGTGAACGAAAAAACCAACACCCAAGGGAACTTCGGCAGGTCAACGATGATTAACGAAGATCTGGCAAGACTCACAGCTGAAAGATTTTTCGTCGGATCAAGCTGTCCATATCTCTTCCGATCTACCGACGTAATAGAAACTCGACGGGCTTAATGCACTTGAGGCCACACAGCCGATGTTAGTCGGACTACTTTATACAGTAGCCGAAGTTTAAACTATCCGCTCTTTAGAGCCTCAAGTACTCGACCGAGTGCTCGGCCGAGTGCCCGGAGAGTGAGTGTGTGCTCGAGAGTCAGCCAGAAACGCAGAAAGGAAAACTTTGTTTTGTGCCGCTGGCTTGTGTAATTTAAAGTTCGCTTCCGTAGATTTGCCGAGTTCAAACTCGAAAGGATTCGCCGGCGTGTCGTGAGATATGAAATAACGAACAGGCGACATACGTTATGCTCTAACCGCTCTTTCAGCCGCTCGTTTCTCATAGCGGAAGATCAGCACAAGGAACTGCGTGCGCGGGAAAGTCCGGAGGGGGAGAGGAGGAGGCTATATCTATGCGAGAAAGAGGAAGGAGCCTTCTAGCCGAGTGCATGATTAATGCTTGGCAAACTTAACTAACCGCCTCGCCACCGTTGATGCATATATATTATGACGCAGCGTCAATGTAGCGTTAGGAACACTCTTCGTTCGAAGACGTCGTCGAAAACGGCGCCGTTCAGATGAAATAATTAAGACCACAACGGTACGGCTGTACGAAATGAATCTCGTCGACGTGCTTTACTCGAAATGTCGCAAGAAGTTGATGAATTTGAAAATAAACTTGAATACATCAATATACATTATTTAAATCGCGTAATTCTGACGTCAACATATAAAAGACAAATATGATATAAAATATATATATTAAAAAGGTGTAGTCGTACGGAAAAAAATAGAGAGACAGGAAATTTTATGCTATCGAATGTCAAATAAATAAATATACAAGATGTTCCTTAAATGCTGTCTGTAATATTTAAGAAGTTGATTTTTGAGATCATTTTATGAGAAAAAGTTCACATAAACATATGTGTGTTTCTTCATAAAATAACTTCTTAAAATATTTGGCAATACTTATGAAACACTTTGTATATTTACTTATTTGCTACGACCATATTCGTTGCCCCTCTAAATTATTTGTTCACCGTGAACGTATAATAATTATGATTACTGTTATAAAATCTCTTTATCGCAAAAATAGATATACAAATAGCTGTGATGTGTTCGTTGTTAACAAATATATCTTGATTACGGATATTTCCTGGTTTATATATATTTAACGAGATTTCGAGATTTTCACTCTCTTCAAATATATATCGCGAAGTATAATTCGCGATCAATTCATTAAACATTTTTATCGCTTCCATCATTGTCCAAAGAACTACGTCCCGACTGTAATCTGATTACGAGCGGAGAATTAAGTGCACAACGGTACGGTAATCGTAAATATTTCTCGTACTCAACGGCACGCTCAAAAATTCCGGATTCGTGACCGTCTAAAATAAAATTACTCTTCCGCGTCGTATCACCAAAACCTCGGCGTGACGCAGGGATTTCTAGAGCGACAATAAAACTCGCCGCGACCACCTGCGAACCGTGCGGGGACGAGTAATGCGATACAACGGCCGTGATAAATTCGCGATTTAATGATAACGGCAAACGGCAGTTTACGTCACGATAAAGGCCAATTAACTTCGCGGAGTGCCGACCGGGCCCGAGCGAACTGTCGTCATCCTTGCCTATAAAGGGCAGCGGCTATTAGCGCGTGCAGCGTTAATTAATTAATTCCGCAAAGGCCGGTTCCTTCGTTCCATCGCGATGTCGCAACGCTGCCCTTAATTCCTAAAAGTGGCTATTACAGCTTTCGCAAGCGTGATCCAGATCCCGTCTTGATTGCGCAACCAGTTCGATGGGAAAAATACAAAAAAAGTTCGTAATAGAGTAACCTATCAGCGTATTAGAAATTTGTTACGTAACACGTGGTGGAAAGTCATTTTTCAACACGAAAAAAATTCGAATCGATTTGTCGGCGGACCGAAATTTTCTTAGAAGCAGCGCTCAAGCGGGCGTGGCGATGCTCTCCTAGTACTCCGTCGTGATTACTCCCGTAGACGATGGTATTTAATCTTGGCGAGAAATCGAGGAAACTTGTAAAGCAGATCGCACTCGAGGCTTTGTTCGCGGAATACGTTGCCGGACGATTGATGGTTGCGTGTGAAGGAGGCGCAAAGGGGAAGAGAACTGCGAGTATACATTGACCCTTCCTAGGATATGGAAGAGAGATGTTATTCTTGGAAGTTCACATTTCCCAACGCTATCATTAAGTGTATATTGAGGTCTAATGGACTCTCTCTCTCTCTCTCTCTCTCTCTCTTTATCTTTCTCTTTATCGTCCCAACGTTCAGATACGTTCAATGCAACTCGACTTCTCCTCCTCTCGTTTTCGCGCAAAGAGGATACGAGTTTACCCGACAGGGTTCTTCGGAATATCTCTCAGGGGGGAAAATTAAATATTCCAAGATATTTTCACGCGGTGGGAAACGTACAATATTTCGCGTCGGGCGATAATTCTAACGGAACGAGAAAATACTGGGTTCGCTTGCGTTCGTCAATATAGACCTCTAGAATTAAACCTGAGGTTATCGTGTCGTGAAACAGCTAACGCAATTAAAGAGAACTAGCTGCGGAACGGGGAGAGCGAAGCCGTAAGAATGAAAGACGACGTGGAAGCCCGTGTCGAGGTCAAAGGCGGCGGGACGATTTTTCAAAGGCTCTCGCGTGAGAAAGCCGCGAAAACTGAGAAAAGCTTTCACTCGGCCACGTGAAATACATACGTGAAACGTTAATGGTGTTTATCGAATATAACTGCGAAGGCGCCGTATAATTTATGATAGGAGGGCAATATCGACCAGGTTTATATATATTCCAATACTAAATATAGATCATATTTTATATTCGTTCGTTCGAACATGTATGTACCGGGTAAAAATAATTTTACCATCAGTAAGGTAGAGGGACAACTGAATTATATACAGCACTCGACAAAATTAAAGGTCACACTTTCAACGAACAATTCTGTTGAACAGTTTCGTAGCCTGAATTATAAATGCGAAAATAAATGGCAAAAATACAAATATGTTTGTCAAAGGTTAAAATCACACGCCGGAGAAGCGTTCAATGTTCCAAATACCTACTAGGTCAAATATCTACTAAATTAGGAATTTCGGAGAATAAATGTCTAATTCCGAACTATATAAACCCGAATTGGAATCTTGCTTCTTCATATAATTTAATTCTATAAATTCCGTTGAATTTGTAGGGTCAATGGAGAATCTCGAAATCTTCTTGAGATATCGATTAACAACGATAAACAGAAGTGGAAAAAAAGAAGGCATTGGTAGAATCAAGATAGAATTCACGATTCTAAAAGCATTATTAGAGGCGCAAATTGGCATTTGCAACACTTGCATTCTGAATGTTGACTCGAGACATCTCCTTATTCTCGGTGAATTCACCAAACGGCAATCAGCAAAAAGGGCAAATTCATTTTCTGCCGACCTTCGACCGTCACGTCGTCCGCTAATCGATGACGCGTTCGGTGGCCGACAGATCATAATAAACGTTTCAAAACATTCCGGATTTTCAAAACGATCTACGTTATCAGGAGCATCATATGCATGATACAAGCCGAAATTTTAAACTCTATACTATAATCTTATACTCTAAAATTTTAAACTCTATACTATAATCTTATCCTCTAAAAGCGATCATCTTTGTTATACTGGATTCGTGTATACCAAAGGCCGCTGCATATCAAGTATCCAAATACAATGGCATGACATAAGCATTTTGACAATGAAATATGTATATTCTATTTAATATCAGAATATTTATTATATATCGTGAAAATATCATTATTATGTGTTTAATCGTTTAAAATGCTTATATGACTGATTATTTAAATAACTGCGCTTCATACATAGCAGCTTTCAATATGCAGTCCGGGTAGTGGGAATGATCGAATTTGTTATAAATCTCGCAAGTTCTGATTGGCTCCTTTTAATAATGTTTCTCCCTTTACAATTCCTTTTTATTTATCCCTTTTAAATCTCCATATTCTACCGAAAATTCCAATGCCAATAAAATACAGTAATGGCAGATTATGAGAAAATAAAGCTTATTTTATTTACTCATTCATGCAATCCTGTTATTTATCTATATTAATGATTTAATATTTGCTTATCGCGCATATTCTGTTTGCAGTTAAATAAATTACACAATACGTCGCTTATTGAAATTAAAAATATAAATTATAAAAGCAGGTACAGTATTGAAATAATAGATAATGAAAGATATAAAAGCTCTAACGCGATAACTCTGATAGTAAGAGCGAAAAAGAACAATGGACTAATAACAGTCGTCGCTGGATGTTAGGCGCGAAAATTGAGAAATAATGGAATATTAAATAATTCTGAAACAAGTCTTTCTGTAAACTTTGACGTAGAGGAAACGGCCATAAATAATAAACTGTTTGCATCGTCCAAAGATAATAATAACCTGTATAATGTTACACCTCAAGATTTTTCATTAATGCTTCAAGTTCGATAAAATTTGCAAAGATTGACGAAGTACTAAACTTTCCACACGGATAGTAATCAGTTTCTGATCCCATTATTCAGTTCCTTAACATTGTGCCTTAACCGATACGTCCAGCTTTTTCATGTAATTATAATAATAAAATTCACTCACCAGTTCGCATTTCATCATGCTGCCGAGTCGTCGTAGTGTGTGTGTACCAAAACTGTTACCGTTACACGTCGTTGGCAGGGTTTCGTGAACAAACACAAGATGTACGGACAGATCTGTCGTGAGGCGCAAAATCGCGGATACACGTATCGGCCAGAAAGCTACGGACGAAGTTGCATTATGTCGTCCGGGAGGTCGTATCCAACTTTCGGTCCCTGCGGGTGTCGGAGAGAATCGCGTTCGCGCGCGGGGAAGACGACGTTACCAATTTTATATCCAATTACATGCGCCGCGTCTCTCTACGCCGTATTATCGACCGTACATCTGGCAAATTACTTCCGCGAGGTAGAACTGGAACAAAAATCAAAGAACGGCAGGTATTAAC